TGAGCAGAAGCTCAGGCCCTACCTCAGGCTTATCAAAATAGTATCTGCATTTTAACAAGACCCCTGGGTAATATGAATGCACATTAAATTTTGAGAAGCGTGTAAACTATGTGCCACAAATAAACACCAAATCCTTGAGCATTTGTTTGGCTGTTGCACATGGTTGGTTTTTTCCATTGTCTAATTCATTAAATTTTTTGATACATCTCTATTTGTAACATGTGTCTTAGATGCGCCCTAATGTATGCATGTTTTTTTTACTAATAAGTGTACACACACACACACACACCAGTGAACAATTATTAGGTATATTATAAAGTGTACCTAAGAAAAGAAATTTTAAATTGAGCTAAAGGTGAAATATTTTTAAATTTGTCGCCAATCATGATAACTTTATGTAATCATTAGCTAAAATCTCAAAGCATGATATACATTGAAGGTGAAGTTCATTATTAATAAATAAATCCATATTTTGAATATCCCTCATGAGAGTTTTGATTATTTTGGGCTTTGTTTTGATCTGAGTAGACCATCATTGCTTTAACCTTATGAGAAGCTGTTGACAAGAAGGAGAGAGTCAACTGTTATTGTTTCCTGTGCTTGTATTATCAGTATTTTTTTCAGGCTGCGGTTTTGTCATGGGAGATATTTTTAAGCTACACATCTCCTTAGTGATGGCTAGCTTAGTTAAAACTAGAAACTTTATCTACATATCCCCTTCAGGGGTACACATAACTAAACTGCATTCCAGGCAATGTACCCCAATGACGGTGCTTCTGCCAGTCACCTTCATTGGCCAAGATTCCTGATTCTCGCCATCTGGTGTGGGTGTTCCAGGTGAGGGCACTGGCATCAATATACATATTAAATCGATTTCTCATTTTTAATAACTAAAGACTACTCACAGAAGGTCTTGTAAATACATACCCCATCTTGAAGACTCCTTGAATCCTCTAAGAATCCTCATCTCCACTGCATGCTCTGGGAAGGGCTGCCTTGGGGAAAAGTGTCTTTGGCTTTTGGGCTGGATTTTCATGAATTTCGGCACTCAGGAGAAGCCCAGGGGATCTGCAGATGGCAGTGCTGACCAAGTTCATGGTAGCTGTCCTGATTACTTACTTTGCGATCCTCTTGAAAGCCTGAATATTTTGGAATTTTTGGGAGGACTCTTTGGAGAATCTGGTGAAAGCAATGGCTTCTTGTTCAAGAAGAATGCACACACAGAATTTCCATTCAATTCCAGAAGGGTTCAGAGTTTGGAAGCTCATGATGAAGAACTGTTTAGAAGTGAAAAAGGCAAATCAGGTTTGGGAGGCATATCTAATTCTCAAACATTCCTGCCCTGCGGCCCCATTGAGTTTCAGACCCTGCTTACTGCGCAAGGGTGGGAAGAGGCCTGGACTCTGATTTCAAGATACTCTGCTTTTGTATTTCAGTCCCTCTGATTATTAGCTGGGTTAACTTAGGCCATTTTTTCACTCCGTAAAATGTGTATAGTAATCCTCACCTTGTAACGCGCTTCTTGTTTGTCACCTTTCTGCATTGTTGGCCTCGTTCGTTTCTCAGATAGCTGAATTCTTTCCTGCCTCAGGGACTTTGCACTTGTGCAATGTTCTTTCCATCATCTTTTTGTGAGCAACTCCTTCTCACCATTCAAGGCTCAACTCAAACGTCACCTCCACAGGAAGGCTTTTCTTGATCTCTCTCTCTGTCTCGCTGTCTCTCTCTCTCTCTCTCTCTCTCTCTCCTGATCTCTCTCTCTCTCTGTCTCTCTGTCTCTGTCTCTCTGTCTCTCTGTCTCTCTGTCTCTCTGTCTCTCTGTCTGTCTCTTCCTCTCTCCCTCCCTCTTTCTCTCAGTTTATTTAGAAATTTTTAAAAAGTGTTCAATTCAGTGGTTTCTAGTCTATTCACAAAGTTGGGCAACTATCACCACTGTCTAATTCTAAAACATTTTCATCACCCTAAAAAAAAAGCCTCCCACTTATTAGCATTCACTTCCCATTTCCCATTAAAAATCCACCATCGTAACCATTTTAATTCATACAATTCAGTGTTTTTTAGTATATCACCACCACCACTATCTAATTCCAGAACATTCTTACTATCCCAAAGAGAAACTTCATATACATTCACTCCCCACTTCTCCTTCCCCCAACCCCTGGCAACCGCTAATCAATCTACTTTCTGCATCTGTGGATTTACCTGTTCTGAACGTTTCATGTAAACGGAATTATGCAATGTGTGGCTTTTTGTGTCTGGCTTCTCTCACTGAGCTGTGTCCAGTTTCTATTTACGTTGTCACAGGTATCAGTGCTTCATTCCTTATTATGGCTGAATAACATTCCATTCTAGTCCACCCATTTTGCTTATCCATCCATCAGTTGGTTCGGGTTGTTGCTGCTCATAGTGCTATGTGCCAGTCTCTCTTGGCCACGATATACTTTTATTTATTTAATTTTTGTAGCCCTTGTCTATTTATTTAACATGTATATTTTTGATCCCTTGCCTGAGAATATAAGCCCCCCAAGAAGTCAGTGATCTTGCCCATCTTGTACACTGCTGTCTTCCCAGTCCCTTGAATAGTGCCTGGCACAGAGGAGGCAATACATATTTGTTGAGTGAGTGAATGAGTGGGAGCTGTTGTTATTATTCTCGTCTCTTAGCAGACTCAGTCTTTTCCTCTAACTCACGTGGGCTCTTGCTCTATTGACCCATGTCCCACATCTGGCACTTCTCACCAGCTGTAGTTCTTGGCTCATTATCCCATTGCCCCATGAGCAGCCATTCTCCCAGGCTTGGGGCCTCCCTTAACCTCATTCAGTCTCAAACTTGAATGTATAACAGTCTCATACAGAGGGCCTGGGAAAATACAGAGAGTTGAGCCTGACCCCTGGAGTTTCTGAGTCAGTAGGTCTGGGTGGATCTGAAAGTTTGCATCTTAGCAAGTTCCCAGGTGATGCTCGTGCTGCTGGTTGGCAGACCACTGTTTGAGAATTGCTGCCTTAGTGGTATGAATTTCAACGGATAGGCTGGGCCTGGTGAATGCATAGATGGTATGCGTGACCCTCAGTCAAACAGGTCATCTTCCTTCCTCCTTGATTTGGACTCAGACGGTTCTGGTTAGTTAATAGCATCCGGATAGATCCCCAAACACAGCAGCAGCTGTGGGTGTGCAGCCTGGAGAAGCTCGACCTGGTCCAAAAAGGGCACGTATGAGGATGTGTATCGCAGTGTTGTTTACAGAAGCAGGCAGTTGGTGACCAACTAGGTGTCCAGAATTAGGGAAACAAATAAGTAGGGCTGATATTCTGCTGGTTCGCAATGAAACAACTGGGTGTTTACAGCTGGCATTCATCTTCATCAGTCAGTTCTGCCGCCATGCTAGTTCCTGTGTGTCGAGACTGTCATCTCTGCAGGTAAATGAACTATGGGGGTCGCGTATGTCGAAACACTGCAGCAGTTGCAAGTGAATAGAAGACGCATGCATATAAAATAATACCGACAATATTATATATCTTTCGAGGACATTCATATATCTAAATAAATACAAGATGGAGGGTAGATAAAGAGAAAAAATATGTTGGTGAGGTCCCACCTTTGGTGCAGAAATATTTTACAGTTATCTCTGCTCCGTTCTATGTGCTAACACTGAGCTTCTTTCCTAGGCCTACATTTAACTGTTATGGGTTAAATCAAGTCCCCCCAAAGACATGTTGAAGTTCTAACCCCCCTGGTCCTCCGAATGTGATCTTATTTGGAAATAGGATAGTTGCAGAGGTCGTTTAGTTAAGATGAGGTCATACTGGAGTAGGGTGGGCCCCTAATTCGATACGACTGGAGTCCTTGTAAGAAGATTTCCGCGTGAAGACGATGACACCGGGTGAAGACTCTGCGCAGATGGAGGCACAGAGATTAGAGCGATGCAGCTGCGAAGCGGTGAATGCCGAAGGTCGCCAGCAACCACCGGAAGCCAGGGAGAGGCGAGGGAGGATTCCCCGACAGGTTTCAGAGGGAGCGTGGCCTTGCTAACGTCTTGATTTTGCACTTCTGGCCTCCAGAACTGTGAGACAATAAATTTCTATTGTTTTAAGCCTCCCTGTTTATGGTACTTTGTTACAACAGCCCTAGGAAACTAATACAGTCACTTTAAAACTTTTTGGCTTGTCTCCTTATTTGTAAAATAACAGTGATAAGAATATTGACCCTTCGTGAGAGTCAAGGGAATTGAACATGATGATAAATGGAAAGTACCCGAAACACTGCTGGGACCCCAATTCTATGCTTTTCTTCCATCCCCAGCTACTGATTAAGAGGGCCACCAACCTGGGGTGTGGATGGGTCACACCAAATGCTCCATAGCTACAGGAAACCCGATGCGTTCCATGTGCAGGGCTATGAACACAGACTCTTGTTCAAATCCCTGTGCTATAGTTTACTGGCTGTGTGACCTTGAGCAGGTTAATTCACCTCTCTGAGGCTTTGTTTACTTATCTGCAAAGAAGTAATAATCCTTACAAGGTTTTTATATGCTGCCTAGTTGAATTAAGACAGATAACGTGATTAGCATAGGGCCTAGCTATGGTACATAATAAATAGTATTTGTTATTAATAGTGGGCCATTGCTATACATGAAGTGTTGATATCTAGCGTTAGATATCGGGGGAACTAAATCTATGGTGTGCACATTCTGTGTATTCATCATTCAGTTTTTTCAACAACTCGACGTGGGTAATACCGCTGTTACACAGCTATTGTGGGAAGCATGTGACTGTTCTGCAGGAAGTCTGACTGTTCTGCAGGAAGTCCTATGTAACCTCTAACTGCAGTGATTTTATTTACTTACTTGTGTCTTTCCCCCCCATCCCGCCTCTAACTAGTATGGTGGCTTCACGGAGTAAGGGGCCTTGTCTTTTGTTCACAAGCAGAGCGCTCAGTGTACAGAGGGGCCAGCCAGTCATCGCGTTTTTGAATGAATGGATTTCAATTCTTTGTTCTTTCAGGGCCCTTGCAGATGTCATGAGGCCACAGGGCCACTGCAACCCTGACCACATGGAGAGAGACCTTAACATTGTGGTGCACGTGCAGCATTACGAGAACATGGACACCAGAACCCCCATAAATAATCTCCGTAAGTAGAGCCACATGATCCATTTCCAGCCCCACAGGGCGACTCAGGCAGTGGTCATAGCTCCAGATGTCATGGTGTGTGTTTGGGTTCATTGAGAGTTACTCTTCGTTGACTGGTTAGAAGTTTCATTTCATCTCCTCTGAGTGAAGAGGCGTTTGGCATCATTGGAGTTCACTTGGTTTGTTTCTCTGTGAAAGAGTGATCCATTTGGTTGGTTTCTCGGGGTTAGTTCTTCTGGTTAACTAATAGACCACTTGGTTGGTACATCATGGTTAGGTACTTAGCTTACTTGATTGGTTCATTTTAGATAGTTAATCTGTTAGCCAATAAGCCATTTTGTGGGTTCGTCTTGATTGGGTAATCAATTGGTTAACCAATGGTCCATCTGCTTATTTGTCTGCCTCCTGAGGTAAACCTGTGACTTTTAGGTTTCATACTGTTTTCAATGAGCAGATACGAGTTCAGAAGAATTAGGTCTATTTTTCATAAAACTAGAGTTTCATGAAAATAATCCACAAACTACTTTGATGTGCACGTGTGTGTGCGTGCGCGTGCGCATGGGAGTGCCTTTGTGTATGGGATGAGCTGTGGTTATGTTGTTTTGGGCTGTGTCTAGGTGATTCAACAGTAGCAAATTCTGTTCTCTTGTTCTTACAAGAAAAAAAAAAGCTGCATTTGTTATTGTTTCAATAGGTATTTAGCTGGTAGAGCATACTTGGGTTGATTTTCTTTCAAAGATCTATATATACAACATACATTATAGATCTGAAGCACTGGCTAATGGGAGTGAGGAAAAACAAGATTGTTTAGTTTTCGACAATAGTATACTATCCTGGTTATTCCTAGCAATTATGTTTTCAAGTAACCCCCACATTAGAGTAATGCGGAGGATTTGGTTTAAAATAACAAAAGCCAGACAATTTAAAGGATGTATTTAGTTGTGGCTGGAGGTTCTTGAAAACATCAACAGTTCTCGTATTGAACATTTTATAGTCTGGATTGCCTTTGCTGAAGCTCCACTAGGAGCTGCATTGGTGTTTTATTTGCTGAATGATAATTTTGAACTCTTCGGTTGCAAATTTTTCTGCTCGATGAGTAGAGGAATAAGTCTGTGGAATTTGACATAATTGACATGAATTCTTTGATTCTTCATGGTGATCATTTTTCATGACCTTAGAAATATTGCAGCATGTTCCCAAAGTCAATATCACCACGGTGTGAAAATGGGTACCAAATGGAATGTCTAGGTTTCATTAGTTTAAATGTTGTCACGTTATTTATTTATGAACCAGGTCATAAAATGGTGTGAGAAATAGCCACACTTTAGAGCAAAATAAACCAGTAATTGTAAGTTTTATGACCAGATCTCACGGCCCTGCAAGATATGATATATCGTACCAACTCTGCGATGGCAATTGCAGTGTCCAGCTCTGGCTTTGAAGGGAATGAGCATGTTCTCTTTTAGGTGGCACTGGGAAATAAATTGAATTTAGATGTATTGTGGTCCTGAACATCCTACGTGAGTGAATGTGATCATGAAGTGGGCAAAGGTGAAATGATGGAGTCTCTGGCTAGAAAATGTGACTATTAACAAGTTTCTCTTTTGAGGTTTCAATCTCGAGGACGATTTTTGAATTAGCACTCAGATGGAATAACAAACTCATTGAAGTCACCCAGTTTTATCATTCTGTCAGGCAAAGGGCAGAGTACATTAATGAATGTTGCTTTAATAAGGGACTTTTGTTTAAAGTTGTACTGAAAATAAATGACTGCTTGGAGATGGGTGTCCAGGCACTGAGTAATTCAGAAGTCTCTCGTGACAGCTAACTTGGTTTATATGTGACTCTTGCCTTGAGTCTATATTTGTGTCTCAGTAATCAGTGATCTTTTATACCAAGAAAAAATGTGTCTTGTAATATTCTACTGGGTGGAATTAAACCAGAGCCATTTCTGGTGAACCATATGAGAGAATGCCAGGTATAATGTCATAAACATTGCCTTCTCTCAAGAATTACCACAGATGTTAATTTCATATAATCCTGCTAGGTCAATCTACTCCTTCTTTCCTATTTTGGGGGAATATCTGGGAAATAAGAAGCATATAGCTTTTTCACAGATTTGTATTAATAAGTTTAATTTATATAACTAATTCAGTAGTTGGTAGTAATGATAGGTTTCCCTGTAACGACTTTATCTTTTTATTGATTTACAGGAGCTATTTCTGTATTACAGACACAGGGGAAAATTGGCATGTTCAGAAGAATGAATGATTTTCAGAGCTCATTGAGAAGACAGGACTAGATGACTGAAATTTATCAGTTACTAGAGATTCAACAAGCCAATAGTGACCAGAGTTCACTTAGACTGATAGAGAACAAGGAGAGAAAGAATCCAATCTGATAACTGGAAAGTTAGACCAGCTCTTGGTGCCACAAGTAGAATGCAGCTATTGAATGTAAAAGTCTTTTCTGAACATTATAGGAGACAAAAGGATTTACTATTATGAAAAATGGAAAGAAAGATGCATCTGCTTGTGATATGCAAGGAGGGGCACATCATGCCATTTCTAGGGTGTTCTTCACTAAACATCCAAGTTACCGGATTTGACTGCGAGCTACATAGTCCCAACTTAAATGTCAGTTTCCTCTTTATTAAATGACCCACTCGATTTTCCTTTAAGGGAATATGTAATCATCTCCAACTAATTGTCTCTCCTCATCTTAATATTAATGCTAGATCGCTTTCTGATCTTTCCCTTATGCTTGGGCCAGATGCTAAGAGAATCAGAAGTGAGGGTTGAAATCTGGATATTTAGAAGGAGGGGAATGGAGGAGTTGGGGTAAAGTCACATAAAGAGGAGAAAGTTTCAATATGGGGACATTCTGGCCAACGTTTCTTTATAAATTTCCTATGGTTGATTTTTCCTGTGATAGGCAGGGCTTGCCTCTATTTGAAGATGGGTTTTTCTTCAGCTGATGCTGTTCATGTTCTTTCCAGGCATTCAGTGATATTGCCTAAAAATATTTAGTCTGATAATCAAAAGGGCCTTGCTCTCTTTGATTAGCAGGATGTAGATTCAGATGAGATAGTGATTTTCTGCAAATGCTCCTCGGCTTCTGTATAATTACAGTTTGCTTTTGAAGGCACGTTTTGTCCTCAAGTGCTATGAACCTACTCTATCTCCCCCACCCCTGCCTGCCAGTGACAAAACCCACCCCTTTTGGGAGTGCAGGGTAAATATGAGCTTCCTTCAGTCCCCAGGATGGGGGAGATGTGAGCGTGAGACTGTTGCAGATATGAGGATGCAACCCAGATCAATGCTTCTCAAGTCCTGTGTGTTAACAGCACACTTTTTATTTTTTTTGAAATAAAATTTTAAGTTGGAATAGTTTTATATTTACAGAAAAGTTTACAAAAAGAGTTCACAGAGTTCTGTATACTCTTCACTCACTTCTCCCTAATGTTAACATCTTATACACTTGTCAAAACTAAGAAAACAACATCAGTACATTATTTTTAGCTAAATTGGAGATAGTGTTTGAATTTTACTAGTTTCTTCAGTCATGTCTTTTTGCTGTTCCAGGATGCCATCCAGAATGCTGTGTTATATTTAGAACAGCAAACATGGTAGTAGAGTCTTGATTGCGCAGTGTTGTTTAATGACATGGTAAAGACTAGAAACAATACTAGATAAATCAGCAGCAATTACAAAGCCTTTATTGTATAAAAAGTGTCTCCCACTGCCTATAAAAACATGCACGCAAAATTATTCACCTGGTCAGTGTTGGAGTGGAACCAGTTGCTGTCCTGTCTGTGCTGTCACGTATACTTATGAGACAAAGTACCTTCAGTGTCCCTACAAACATGCGACCTCTCTTTGAAACTGGGTTGCTCTTACACTGTTTATATTATGGCACAATATGAGCAAGTGAGATCTTACCCCAAACTGAGGAGAAATGCTGACTTCATGTTTCAGGACACAGACAGAATCCATCAGAAAGACCAGGTCTCGATTCCAGTCTCACTCACCCCTCCTCCCCCAGGACCGTTCCCAAGGGGATTAACAAGGAACCTGATGAAAAGCAGATCTCTGGTCTAGTTTCTCAAGGTATTATACAGCTCATATCTAGGGCCAGATGGATTTCCATTCGTTTTTCCACCCGTAGTTACCAAGGCACCTGGAAATCCTGTATTTGACTTTTGGGAATACTGGTAGGGATATTCCCAAATATTTTTTAAAAATTGGAAGGAATTTCCTAATTAGGGCAGGCAAAAGGGTAAATATAGATATATGTGTATAAGAGTAAAAAGCATATAAGACTGTGTAATATTAACAACTTAGATAAACAGTATTCTAAACCCCCAACACATTGAATCTTCAAAACCTTATTAGGTTAGTAATATTATTTTCATCATCGTAAGGATGGGAAACTGAGGCTCAGAGAGGTTAAGTGGCTTGTCCAAAGTTCATACAAGCGAAATGATGGGGCTGGGATTTAAACTGAGCAGGTAAGACCTCAACGTCGGTGTTTTCATTTTTTTTTTTTTAGGTAAGGCAACCCTTGGTTGACCTCACAGATTGCAAGGACCTTGTCAGCTTACAATCTCTTATTTTTTATTTTTTTATGCCTACAGCACCTGGTCTTCCTAGGTGGTCTCCCATCCAAGTACTAACCAGGTCTGATTCTGCTTAGCTTCCAAGATCAGATGGGATCGGGCCTGTTCAGGGTAACATGGCCATAGACCCAAGGTCAGTGTTTTTAACCACTGTATTAGTGACCTCTTCTTGTGGTACAGGTGTTTGCAGAAAGGAGAAGTCTTCTTCCAAGATGGAAGTTGTTAAA